CCTCGGGCCGGCACGGTGAATCACAGGGCAGGGAAACATTTCTCAAATTAAAAACATTTAGATATTCTGTACCAATGGAACACTTAACAAGTTGCAAGCCTACAAGAAAATAGCAGAAAGTCCGCAAGACAGAAGATTGATAGAGAGATGAGAAGAGAGGAGAATCCTGAGTTGTGATCTCCTTTCATTCCCTCTGAATGGGATAAGATTGCTGTCACTCAATCTTCTAAGTTCACCAGTATTTTTAGTTTTTGCTTTTTCAGCTGCTCTATATCAAGTGCGTTTATTCATGGGTAAATATCAGTCTGTGACTCATGATAAATAGCTCCCCTTTGTAGACATCCGGTTTTTTGGTTATGAAATAGCATTTGGCTGTGACACATGTCCCTCTGAGATTATGTTTGCAAGCAGGAACTGTGTAGGCAGCTTCCATTCCAGAGCCTGACCTTGCCTCTTGCTAAGAAATGTCCCCTTCTTGCCTGTTTCTGGCATAAGCCAGTCTGGAGGATTGCTGCAAATGGCTCAACAACCTGTGTTTAATGTGGTGACACTAATGAATTTTTAGAATTAATCTTCAGCCAAGAAAGCATGCTGGAAAGTACTAGAATTTCAAATTAGGTAGTGGATTGCTTTCTTTTGAGGTTGAAAGTTTCTCCTTTTCCCTTCTGCTGGGGTTTTCTATCGTATTCAAAGCAATCACCAGAGCTGTATAAATTCAGGGTCTCATATATGTCTCATGGTATGAAGAAGTTTTTATTCTGTTGTTTTGTTCTGTTCCTTAGCACAGAGAAACTGCATCTAAAACCAAATTAAAAAAAAAAATCTTGGAATGAAAGATTTACTTATGATTGGAGGGGGAACAGTTTTTCTAAAGCTAATCTATGTTTAATTTCTTTTTCTAGAGCAAGAGACTGGGAACACCTGAGGTGGGGAATAGATTTCCACAGTGTGAGACACTGTCTCCTATAGAAACAGTAACCCATAGACATTGCAAACGTGGGGATAATTGGGGCCCCACAGTCTGCTGACACATCCCCAATTCCAGCTTCATCTCTGTCCCTCATTCTTACAACAGAGCTTCCGAGGATGTCATTTGGGGGGCTCATTAGCAAAAACAAGAGAAAATGATCTGTAGGCAAGTACGTTTGGAGACAAGGAGTCAAACAAAATGAAGCATTTTCTTAACCCCAGGATTTTAACACGCTCATGCACATCGTGAAGCTCCACACCGACTTGATTTAGAGAATCACTGCTGTCCCCAGCCTTCTTTGAAATGACTAGAAAACTAGTCATTCCTTTCTCTCATGGAATGACTCACAGGTAGAGTGCTTCACCCACCTCACCTCACCCAGGCTGGCCCCACTTCCCGTGACAATCCAACATTTTACATATCCTTTATGAGCTTTGCTCAGTTTCTGGCTGGAGGAAGATATTCTGTGTCTGGAATTTGTAATTCCTGACTTAATAAGCAATCCTGAAATGAATATGTATACTCAACTTTCTTGGTTTTATGTATTCGTTCTCCACATCAGGAGAGAGGTGTGTTTACGTGATGTGCTCTCCACATCATCTGCTTTAAAAACTATGTGAAGGTTTCCAGGAGTTTTAATGATCCTAATTCTTTGTCCTCTAAATCTCTGCCTAGAAGGAGACTAGGATGGAAATGATGAGCCGACAAACTTAAACAGTAAGAATTGGTAAAGGGGCCAAAGCCAATAATTGTTCCTAGGTGCTTCACAGTGTCAGCTTGTGGAGGTAAACATTCTGGCGGTCTTTGTTCATGAATTGCTTGGTCCCTTTTCCCAATTCTGTAATGTCTTCTTCCTCTTCTCCTTCAACCTCGCTCACTTCAGTTCCCCAAGACCTGGCTCCGTTCTTACCGCCCTAGGAAGGTTCCGTGCTAGAGCCTCTCAGTGACATGCTTCCCCCCTGCATTGTTTTACACATTGTAGATGCACCGTTTTTAACAACACAGAGCCAAGTGGAAGGGGTCCCCTGTGGGAGTTGGGGCACCGGCCTCATCACTGTCAGGACTTGACCTCAGTTTTCTCACCTCTGAAGACAGAGGGTTAGGCCAGGAAATCGTAATCCTCGTAGCTCTGAATCTCTGTTTTTGTGTTATTAGTGCTTGCTCTAAATAGATAATCAAACACTGATCTTGCTATTTCTCTGTTCCTTCCATCTTTCTGATTGGATTGTAGATCTGGAGGGAAAACATCACAATTTTTTATGCATTAATTTTAGGTTATTCTGATGCTGTGTAATAACCATTTGCTGAGTAAATGCCCTATTTCTAGTCATGCATGATGTTGGGCCCTGTCTGCTGGTAAGGGAGAACTTTCCTCTGTTGACCAAAAGAATGATAATCCCCTTTCAGACTGGCTCTTCAGCCCCATGAGAAAAGTACACAGGAGTGTTTTAGTACACTTTCAAAGTCTTCTTGCCTTTCACCTAAAAACCCTCCAATGTGGTTGGGTTTGTTACAACGCTGCTTAGCATTCCTCCCATACACACTTGGATTCAGTTTTGCTGATTCCATAATATGACATTCGGCACACTCCAGTCTTACCAGGAACACTAACAAATCCTTTTACTCATTGCTTCAGAGAGTGATGTGTACACTCTTCCTTTTTTATGGATCCTCCCCAAACAGCAGATTAACGTGTTGGTTTCTTCCTTGTCTGATTCTCTCACTGTCTTATTCACACTTTACTCTTACTCCCTCTGTGAACCAGAGAGACCCTCGCTAACATACCAAATGATCTTGCAACCTTGTTGGAAGCCTTGCTTCTCCAGTGGGTGCTAAAATTGTAAATAATCCAGATCACTTTCAACCCTAGACTCCAGGAGAGACTGAGTCTTAAGGCTGGATGAAGTATAGGGCTCCTAGTCTCTCTCATGTCCTGTTCCAGAGCTTTACTTTCTCAAGTACCCAAAGGGAACTATATTCAAGACCCACCTGGATCGCTGGCCCTGAGTACCTGTCCCCTCACATGCCATGAAATTTTCTCTAATTGCCACCCTTCCCTTGGGCCGCGGATCCCTTAGTTCAGCATTGGTCAGTAATCAGGAAGAGCTGCCCCAGTCCTTTTGCTTTTTCATTCCTTTTCAGTAAGCACCTACTGGCCTTCAGATGAAGCTTCACAGGAAGAGGGAGAAAACCAAATGTGTTTTGTGCAGAAACAAGGGTTCTCTCTCCCTGTGTTGGGGAAACACTTCATCCCAGGTATCTGGTGATGAGAAAGACAGCATAACCTGACCACTGTCCCTGAGCAGTCCTAGCTGTGATCCAGCAGATCGTGGACTGCTGTTTCACCCATTTCCTTGGAGGCACCAGGGGTGTTGTGTGACACTGGGTTTGCCTTCAGCAAGAACTCTCAGGGGACATGTGACTGTTTTTATTTTAGGAGTTTTCATGCACCATCCCCCAAGCTAGGTCAGCATGCCTATCACTTGTGTTATTGATCTCATAGCTGCTGCTTGGGTTCCTTCTTTCTCAGGAAAGACTCACATTTGTTTTCCTTTGACAGTCACAGAGACAGATGAATGTACCTGATGTCAAGAGAAGACTGGCGACATAAAGACAGGAATGCAGTCTTTTTTTTTTTTTTTTATCATGCGCACTGATTTGGTAGTATTGATAGGAAATATAATAGTTTATACAAAAGGCTCTAACCCATAAAAGTCAAATGATTAATTTCTTCCCATGGCGAGGTGGGGTTGGTATTTATAGTCGTGCGGGCAGCACAAGGGGGATCTAGTACTGCTGGCTTTCCTAGCTGCAGGCTGCAGCTCCACAAAGCAGGGAAGCCCCTGAATCAGTGTTCAACTGGACTAACTGGGAAAGTGACCAAATGGCCTTTGGGACTAGAAGGTGAGGAATGTAAAAGAGTTTTGAAATAAAAACTGCAAAGGCTAAGTAAAGCTTTTCTTGTAAATCTAACCATTGAGGATTGCTTTAGAATTCTGCTTAAATGTACTGAGAAGATGTTCAGGGTGATGCTTTTCACCATTCATCAGTGCATTTGATTTTTAAAATGTGATATTTTAGATGGCTGTGCATTGGGAAAACTAAAGGCGTTTAGTTCATGGAGTGGGCAGGATGGCATCGGTGTTTATTCAAAGCCTCCAGTGGGAGCTAAAGACCGATAGCTTAACAGGGCAGATGTTGAAATTTCCTCCTCTCACCAAGGGCAGCTGCTCAAAATAGAAATGCGATGGTAATTCCATTTCACTAGGAATTTCCATGTGTCAGAATCATCGTTAGTAGCACAGAGCATGCCCCAAAATGTATTAAGTTGTGGTTTTCTTTGAACAGGGCACTGGATCTGAAGCAGAAAGTGGTTGCACCGGTGTGGTTTTAATCAATGAACCGCACAGGAGTTAAAAGCAACCTGAATTTTACCACTTTGAATGGACTTTTTGTTCCCTGTTTACATAATTGCATCCCAATTCATGTGAATTACATGGTAGTCACTTCCTGTTCTGATGTTTTTCTACTTCTTCAAAAGGCATTAGAAATCAAGCTTCTGGATTGTCTGTTTCTTTTATATTTGTTTCTTTTTTCAGCTTTCCTCACTACTAAATAATGGGTGTTTCATATTTTAAGATTTACTTGAGCTGATAGCATTTAATTCTAGATGTTTCTAAAATAAAACATAGACTCATGAACTTGACTTTATTGAAAAACATTTTTCTGTAATGAAAAATCAGACAGAAAATTGCCTGAGCAGTCTATTTTCCAATGTGTCAAATACTTCCAAGTCAGTTGAGGGTAAAAATTGATTGTGCATGAAATATTTACTTAAAACAAACTATATAGATTTCTGATAGTTTAATTCAGCTAATATTTTTTGTACTTTCTGGTATTAATAAAGAGAGAGTTGTGTATGATGGATGATGAGGCTTTATAAATGCGCCTTCTCACCTCCTCTCCCTGTTCACCAGGGAACAGGTGTCTCAGGCTGTACTTTCAATTGTTTCTTGATTTTTGCAAACAGGTGTCTTATTAAGGATTTTGAAAGGCGGCCTAACGTCGCACAGCTCCTGGACCACCCGTTTATTAAAGAAGCTCATGGAAAGGTTCTGTTTCTACAAAAACAGCTCGCCAAGGTGCTTCAGGACCAGAAGCATCTGAACCCTGTTGCTAAAACCAGGTACAGTTCTCCGTGTCCTTCTGCATCTCCCCTCCTGTTATTTATAAAGACGGCATGGCATGTGTTTGGATTTCCCCAGCGTTGTTGCTGAGAACGATCATACCCCTGCATGCGTTGTTCAGTTTCATTTATGTGACATGAAGCGCTCCCTGCCCAGAGGGAGAGCAGGCAGCCTGCAGAGACAAACTGCCTGTTCGTGCTCGGTGGCTAATTTCCCTCAAATGGCTGAAACTTCACCATCCTTGTGTTCAGTTAGCTCTAGGTAAAGATCAACAGATACATGTATATGTTTATAGTTAATATAAATGTGGCCAATAAAGGTAACTGTACAAAGGCGGCCACAGCTGAAATTGTGTGAAAAGATCTCTACCCAGCTCTGGAAAACTGAAGAGCCAGAATATAGGCTGTAAACTGATGGTGGAAAGGTTATGCATTTAATAGTAGAGGGTTTTTCTTTAATACGATCTGAGACTGTTTCTACTTTAGTTAAAAATTCCTTAGAGTCAATTTAATAATTTAGATAATTATTTCAGATCTTGTCTGTGCTATCTAAAGCAACTGTGATTCTCTCCCCACCCTATCCCCATTTTAAAAAATGATAGATTTTTAAAAAATGTTTATTTTCAGGGGCAAGTGCTTAAACAGTGTTCTGTGGCGAATCTCAAAGAAATAGATCATTGATTTCTGTCCAGAGGGTGGCAGAATTTCTCTTTAAGAAAAAAATGTGCAAATAAGCCTACTTCCTCTGCTGAGCAAGTACTGGGTTTTATAAAACTGGTCAAGATACAGATATGCTCCAGTCCACTGTTACCGAAAGAACATTCAAAGTACTGGAGGAGAAGAAAATCAAATATTGTTAAGTCACAAGTTCTAGAAACACTCATGTATTCTGCAGAAAATGGGTTACAAAGCAAAAAGCCAAATATAGGTACCAGACTTCCAACTAGCTGGAGGCGTAGTATTGAGGCAATTTTCTCCACCACAATCAGCTTTGCTTTTAGATAGTTCAAAACACATCTTTTCCTTCGCACTGCAAGTTTGTTTCTGTGACGTCTCTATGGGGTAGAGGAACAAACGATCTTATGACTTGGTGTCTTTTTGAAGCAATAGGAGTTTGTGTTTAAGCCTGGAAACTGAAGCTTCTCTCTTCTTGTAGCTTTTGTCCCTGTATCAACCAGCAGAGAGTCCCCTACCACCTGTTATAGTGTACACCCAGACACACACACACACACACACACACACACACACACACACACACGGCACTACCACCCAAAATGAAGATGAAATACAGTGAGACCTAAACACCAAAAGCAAATCCAGTGCTTAAATGCTCTAAGTCCAGTCCTGTCTCCCTCCTTCAGCCTTCCTATTCTGAGATCCGCTGCAAGACAGTTTCTAAGACTTCAGTTGCAAAGCTATCCAGCTTTGCATGTCTGCCTTACTTCACCTGTACAGTTCTATGCTCTTTAAAAAAGAAAAACTTTCTCTTTTCACCACAGAAGAATTATAACTACATGCTCTCTCATCCCCTTGCTCTAATTTTTCTTTATCTTTGTTAAGTCTTTTGATATCAAGAGACTCATAGGGTGGCAAAGGCCTCTCACAGGGTCTTTGTAATCCTGAGTTTCTCTCAGTAATTTGTTTCTTTGAACAGTCATTTAAAAAATACAGCCTCACAAATAGATATCAAGACTTCAATGGCCTCTGTTTTTAGGAGGCAGGAGAATTAACTCCAAAGGGAATATGATGCATGTAATCAATAGTTACCCTGCTGCTTATTCCATGGGGGTCACTTCCGATTAGCAGCTGCTGAAATGTTGGCTATGTATGAAGTGTGATCAAAAAATATGGTGATGGTTTAATTTTTTTAAAAAAATGATTACAGTAAAAGACACATTAGCATTAATCCCCACCCAAATCTTCCCCCTTTGCTTTGAATCTCCTTATCCCATCATTCTTTGTGGAGGACACTTGGATGACTTCTTGAAAGAAGAGCAATTATCTCCAGTTTGGCTGAACCTGGCCCTATGTCCATGTACTGATGTGTGCAGAGCTGGCCAGGACTTTTCCTTATCCCTTCAGTTGGCTTTAAGCAATGCAAATCAGTCTAGCTGAGGTGCTGATGTGTAGCCTTTGAAGCAAGGTGACAGGTCAGAGTTACCCCACCCTGTAGCTCCCAAAAACACATGTGTGTGTTGGGGAGGGCACTCCACACAGTTGGCTGGGATCCAGCCTTGAGATAAGGGGCTATGACTTCCCAGGGCATAAAAAGTTACACACCAGAGCTGAAGCACAGCACTGATCCCAAAACACTAGATAGTACCTCGAATTGTGTTATACAGATTATTCCTTCTGCACATCCTTCTCTCTGCATATTGCAGAGGTCAGGTCTCCTACCTAGCCCGGCTCGTGGCACTCACATATTTCTGGCCACTCTCACTCATCCCTGAGCCACTCCCTTCTTCATGAATTAATAAAACCTGGGTTCGCCCTGGGTCCAGGCCTTTTTCCCAGTTAGCCGTCATTGTAGCTAGACTTAGGACCCCTTGGCTCCCCACAGCTACAAATACACCTTAGCGTCTTTGTTCTCCCCATGGGTGTACTAGAATTGATAGACTGGAATTAACTCACTAGAATTCCAATAACTTTTCCATGGGATTACAAATACAAACTTTTTGGACTGAGATGAGGACCAGGAAGGGCTCTCAATAATTCTTGCCACTTTCTGAGGCAGTTCTGAAAGTCTTCTTTCCTGAGTGTCTGTAATTGTCTTTTAGTTGTGATTGCCTCACTATCCTGAATTGATTTAAAACATTCACCTTCCATGGTCATTTTTGACTTTGGAGAAGAGCCAGAAGTTACATGGGGCCAGATCCAGCAAAAAAGGTAGAAGAGGATGCATTGTAATATTCTATGAACTGCCTTTCTGGTGGGTGGCATGGATAGCAACATTCACTATGTTTCTTATCATGCCTCATAAGATACCAGGAAAGAGGACTCCAGAACTGCTTCGGGAAGGCGCGAGAACAATGGGATAAGTGTGTTTCAAACAAGGGGGAGGGCTAGGAGGGGAATTAATGGCAATGGGTCTTTTACTGAATAAATTTTTAAAATTTGCACATTCACTGTATATTTTGATCACACCATGAAGATGTTTTCAAAGCCCACCCACGAATACTCTCAGCCATCATTTGATGTTAATAAGTCAATGTATTTAAGGTCGTGAGCTTCTCCAGAGGTAGAAAGGACAAAGAGTAATTGAGCACAGAGCATAGATAAGTGAGGCAAATGGGCACTCATTTTTTTATAAGCCAACGGCCATGGAGCCGGCAGGACAAGGTGGTAGTCACACTGCAGGGTCCGCCAGTTTGAACCCCAGCTCAGCCACTTACTGGTTAAGTTATTTACTTTTTCTTTGTGAAGTTTCTTCTATAAAATGGAGATTATTTTGAGGGTTAAGGCTACACATAAAATGCTTGTAATAGTGCTCTACTCAGAGTTACCTCTCAACAAATGTTCGTAGAACATACAGAGTCTGTTTAACTTAGATCCTTTCTTTTAAACACTAACCTCCTCTTGTTCTCAATCTGTGAAAATTCATCTTTTTACTTACTTTAGAAGCTCATGACAATAAACAATCCCGAGGTACTAAGTGTAGAAAACATCCACTTCTATCTCTTATTCAAAATCTAATTTATTCATTTATTCTTTGTAAAGACATTGTATCAGGTCCTCTGCTAAACACAGGAGCTACAAAGGCAGATCAGATAGGGTCTCTGATAAGGAGCTAATAGTGTGATGTGTGATACAGACAAGATTGGATAAGAACAGCTCACAGGAAATGCCTGGGCTACCCCAGAGCCCTTGGGAAAGGCGTCTAGGCCAACTCTGGGTTGGGATGCATGGAGATGACCCTCCGGGACTGGTGGGAAGAGGCCCTTGAGCTGTCCTGGAGAACAGGTAGAGGTGGTCAGGACAGGAAGATGTGCTAGGTAGAAGGAAAAGAATGAGCAGCGGGCGAGGGGCAAAGGCACAAGGGCTGGAGAGAGGGCAGGAATAAGTAGTTGGCCTCCCTGAAGTTTAGGGAGGGCCAGGTGGGAACAGAGACAGGACAGGTAGGGTCAGCTCCTGACGGGGCCAGGAGCTCGGTGTTGTTCCTTAGGCAGTAGAGAGCCACTGGAAACATTTAAGGAGGGATGTGTTCCGAAGGTCATTCTGATTGCAGTGTGGAGAGTGGAGTGGAGTGGGGCAGGGCTGGAACTGGGGGGAGGAGCGAGCAGACATGGCAGTTATACATGGCAGAGGATGCTGAGGGAATGCTGCTGTCAGGGTGCTATGGACTGACTGCAGGAGATTAGGGAAAGAGAGAACAGTGTCAGGGGTCAGCCAACCTGGGCAGCCTCCTGCCTTGGTTCCCACTGCAATCAGCCAGAAATTGCCAGACATTAACAGACAAGAGACCAGTCAAAACAGCGCTCTCTCTTCCTCTCCTGTCGAAGGCAATGCCACATACTCACATAGACTGCAGTTCCCAGCTTTCTGCCCAAAGTAGGGTTCTTCAATGGTCCAAACAGCCCTACTCACTCCCCGCGCACTGGGGTGACTTGATTTTAAGGGCAGATCCTGAGAAACGAGACTCACAGAACACTGCCTGTTCCTGCAGAGGCAAGGAAGGTCCTGTCCACATTTAGCACTGTGCCCAGGGTGGAGAGCAGCTGGTAGTTGGAGGAGGTGCAGGTATGAAGGCAAAAGGAGGGGAGGAATTGGACGTGGAAAGGATCTTAAGGAGAAGGACACACTGAAAGCAGGAGAGAGGACATAAGAAGAAGCAGGAGGGAGTGGATCAAGGGTCTTAGAGGGAGGTTCGTAGACTAAAGAGAAAGAACCGCTAAGTTAGGAAAGATACATAGAGGTGAAATGAAAACACTCAGGAAACCTGAGGGACTAAGGCGATATTATGAGGAAACTCATGTTGAAAAGCCTTTATGTTTTCAAAAAGT